TATATAATAAAGAGCTATTAATAATAATAAATATATTTAAGAAATAAAGAGTGTATTTGGAAAGATCAAAATATATAATACAAATATATATAAATTATAAAAACTTGGTTTATTTCATTATAATGAAGAAATTAAATTGATAATAAATCAGATAATTAGAAACCTTAGTAGTTTACAATTTCAGAATTTTATATATCAAAGGGAACAAAAATACTAAAGCAAATATTTTTAATCGAAAATCAAAGTATTTATAAAACAAAATTTACAAAATATATATAATATTAAAGCAAAAAGATAATACATTAATATATAATAAATTATAATTAATTGTTACTTTTAAATTATTGAATAATATAATCAAATTGTAATTATTATTTTATTATAAGAATGATATTATTATATAACGAATCCTAAAAGAATTAAAATTAGGATTTATAATCAAAAAAGAAGTAATCTATTTTTATAATAAGATCTATATCCTTATTAGAATAACAAAAGATTTTATCAAAGAATAGTATAAATTATTAGTATATGGATATTAAGGAATAATCAGAATGTTTATAAGGTTATAATGAGAAATATATTTTCTAAGGATGAGAACAATAATTGAAGGAATAATTGGGAAATGCAATATCTGTATACAAAACAAAGCTGCTAGGCATACTCTATATAATCAGTTCAAGATCCCCGATCTACCTTCCAAGGAATTATGGAAATCCATTGTATAGGATTTTGTGGTTAAACTATTTCCTTTCAAGATTTGTTGACAATTTGGTATATATATTTTTAAAGAATATAATTAATATATATAATGTATTAAAAAAGATAATTTCGGATCGAAATAAGCTATTTACTTCGAAATTTTGGATTATATTAACAGTATTATTGGATATAAAAAGGAAGTTATCGATAGTTTTTTATTTACAAATAGATAGGCAAATAAAGCAATTAAACCAGATAATAGAAGTTTATTTATGATGTTATGTTAATTACAAATAAGACAATTAAGTTGAATTATTATTTTTGGTTTAATTTGTATATAATTTATCAGAAACGGAAATAACGAAAACTATATTAGTTTATATCAATTTCAGATTCCATTTAATAGTATATCGAATGGTATTATTATAGAATAGAAATATAGATAAAGTTATAAAGAATATTGAAAAGATCAAGAATCTATAGAAACAATTCTCTTTGGATTTATAATTTATAGTTTTAAGAATAGTAGTATATTATAATATATTATATAATTTAGAATCTATATTTAAAAAGAGGGATAAAGTTTATCTTCTTCAAAGAAATATATAAACAAAACGATCTAATGATAAATTAGATTACAAGAAATTAGGATCATTCAAAATCGATAAGATAATTGGATTAATCAATTATAAATTAAAATTATTATATATTATAAATATCTATTCAGTATTCTATATATCTTTATTCGAACCGGTATTATTAAGAACGCTTGATATGCTTATAATAGAAATCGAATTAGTTAATCCAAATGCTATATACAATATCGAAACAATATTAGATTATAAATATATTAAAAGCAAAATCAAGTATTTGATTAAATAATTGAATTTCCTATATTTGGAGAACATTTGGGAGTTAAAGAAAGGTTTTAATTATTTTGAGAAACTGAAAGTATTCTATTAATAATACTTAGAGTTATTTAAATCGGATTATTAGGATTCAAAGAATCAAAAAAAGAAGAATTGGAAAAAGGTATTATAGAAGAATCGTTTTTAGGATCGAGAATATTAAACAACAAAACCCTTTTTCTCTTTTCAACAACTTTTTTTTTTAAATTCTTTTCTTCTTCGAATTTCTTTAATTTATCTATTGTTTTCAAATCTCGATGAATCATTTTATTATTATAAGTTTGAAGAAACTTATATTGTTTATATAATCATATTAGATAAGAAATAATAATTGTAATCAAATTAATCGTTTTCATTTTCTTTTTATTCAAATATTTCTATTCCCGAATTAAATTATATATATCTATAATAAAAGGATTTATAAAATTACATTTAACCTTTCGATATATATATTCGTTATATCAAAAAGAATTCTTTTTCGAAATAATACAAATATAAAAGTTATCTTTATAATAAGTATATAAAGATATAATATCTTTTTGAAATTCAATTAATTTCGCAAATTCGATTCGTTCCTTATATTTCTTTAATCGTATAGATAGTATAATAAAAGAAAGAAAAATCTATTTTACAAAAACCTTATAAATCAATAAACAAGATTATTATAAAAACTTAAAACAAGTATTAAATTAAAAAAGAGATAATATTATATAATAATAATCAATCTGTCTATATAAACTTAAACTCTATCGAAAAGCAAAACGATTTGTATACAAATTTGTATAATAATCGCTTTATATAATCTCCCCACCTTTAATAAACTCAAATATATAATCTAATTATAATCATATAATGGATTATAAAATCTAAGAGATCTAAAGAATCGTATTCTAAATCTACTAGATCCTTATAATCCAATTGATACAAAGATCTATATAGTTAGAAAAGGATTCTTTTTGTAAAGCTTAATACTCAAGATCAATTATTTAATATACTTTACTATTAGTTACAAATTATAATCATTGATATTATTTTAAAGTTCCTGCTTGATGCCTAGTTATAAACCATTCGAGGATCCAGGCCATTTCCACATGATCTAGATCGCAACCCTCGTAATATAATCCAATTAATACAAAGATCTATATAACTAGAAAAGGATTTTTTTTATAAAAGTTTTATACTCAAAATCAATCATTTAGTATACTTTATTATTAGTTACGAATTACAATCATTGATATTATCTTAAACTTTTGTTTGATGTCTAGTTATAAACTATTCGAGGATCCAGGTCACTTTTATGTGATCTAGATCGCATCCCTTGTAACACTTAATTACTTTTTTTTTTTAAAATAATAAATACTTTAATCTTTTGATAAACTTTAATTTTCTTTATTATATTAAATGAATATAAAAAAACCCTCTCAATTTTCTTCTTTATAAGATTTAAACATTTTGAATAAATTCTTTTCTTTTTTTCGATTTTAAAAACTATTTTCAATCCTTTCATTTTATAAAATTGAATATCAACTTTAATTACATTTATAATCACTACTTTGAAAAACTTCGATATAATATTAGAATTTAAATTAAAACAAAACTCTAATCGAAAACAATAAAAGGCTTTCAATATATATAAGATTTTAAATTTATCCTTTATTAATTATATTGATATAAATAATATAAAAATATTCTCAAAAATAATACTTAGAATTATTATATTCTTATTTATAAAATAAATATCTGATTTTTCGAAAACTTTTAGAATATTATATATAATACAAAATTGAATCCAAGATTTTTTAAAAAATAATCAAAAATTCTATTTTGATATTTCAATAATACCTTCTTTATTATATATAAATATATTCAACTTTATATTATAATTCGTCGAAAAAAAAAAGAAAATAATCAATATCAAAAGATTATAAATAATATATAAAATAAAAAAATAAAATCAATATTATAATCTTCAATTCTTTATATTTTGATATAAATTCTATATTGATATAATTAGAATAATTATTTATAATAAATAAATAATATCCTTTATCTACTTTTAAATATATATAATATTGAAAAACCTTTATAAATTAAATAAGATTGAATATATTCGATAATTATTCATTAATTGAAACTTCAAAATAAATCTCATCTTTTACTTCTACTTTATCAATTTATATATTTTATAAATCTCTTAATTTTTTTATATAAAATAAAATAAATAATATAATTATATTATTTATATATATATATATATATTAAAAGAATAAAAAAAATTTGATTTATTTTATTTAATTTTTGTAATTTTAATCTTTTTATATATATTAATATTTATAATTCTTTTTATAATTCTTTCAAAATCAATTATAAAATCCTTTTTATCTCAATTATATATATTCTTCAAGAATATATTATATTTTGTAATTATATTTGTCAATTAAATAGAAAAATAAAAAAAGATTAATAAAAATCTTTTAAATAATATATAATAATAATAATACAAAATAATATAAATTAGATTATAAAAATATTTAAATATATTAATATTATTAATTTTTATATATAAGTTATTAATATAACAAAGATATTAATTTTGAAAATATTTTTATACTTTTAACAAAATTCAATATTCAATTCTTTCTTACAAAATAATTTATTATTTTTTTACAAAATTCTTTATTATATAATTTATAAAAGATATAGATCTTTATATTGATTTATTAATTTGATTAATTAAAATCTTCTTTTATTTTAATAAAAATATTAATACAAATCAATATAAATTATATTACAAAAAATCGATTTATTTTTATAATATCAAGAAAATATAAAACAATTAATTTCAAATAATTTTGTTATACAAATATATTAAAGATATTTTTATCTTTTAATATAAATTAATACAAATTTTATAATATCTTGTATAATTATATTAGTTATAATTTAATTTATATAATTGATGATTTTTGAGGTTGTAAAATGTATACAAGATATAGGGTCGTGCAAGATGTAGGGATGTCGGTTACTATGAAAACAAAAAGTACAGCAAATCGAATTAAATAGGAAATGATCTAAGACCAAAATCGCTATACTGAAAACCGTTCCGGCGTTAATCTTGTACAAGAGTTCTAGTAGTAGAACTCTCGTACTGAAACCCCCCTGGGAATTCGTGCCTCTCGGCCGTCGCGGCCATAGCGGCCTCAGATCTCAGACAACCGCATGGTTGGCGGGTGCGATTTGGGTCGGATCGTCACAGTCGTAGTATGAATAAATAGACTTCATATTTGCTACCTTGATTTCAGTATATTTTATAATCTCAAGCTATAAATGAAACAACCGTTATCTCTTCATTCTATTAAAGATTTGAATCTAATAATGTTTTGGCTCAAAAGACTTAAAGAATTTTTTGTATTTCTGAATCTAAAATGAAGTAATGAAGCTCTGTATACGATTTCTATTATTGTAGACTGTATTTAAACAGCTACGGTGCCAAGGCTTGGCAGCGAACAAGCAAGCGGTCCAGTCTTTTCACCTCCGTACACAGTTCAAAAAACGCCAAGTTCCTTCATTCGTTTCTCTGCCCATGCTCCGAGGTCACCAAAAAATTCTTCCGAATTACCCCCACGCCAGTCTCGTAACGAAAACCACAGGTAGCGTACGTCCTTTCCGGCTCTGATTGCAATTTCGTAATCAGGCGCCTCATTGTAAAGCTTCTGTAACAATTGCATCTGTTATTAATTTCATCATACTGTGTTATTAATAGACAACGTACCTTGATATAATGCTGTGCCCACATTTCGTACATTTCAAGGTCCATTAAACTCGAGTTTTTGGGTATCCGAGTGACAGAAGGTCCCCCATTCTTATCTGTTATCAAATCGACCGGACCAGCTGCTACCAAAGGATCGGATAGAAGCGCCGGGACGATACATGCAGTCTCCCAATCGTATAAAGATGTAACGAGAGGTTTGCCATTATCGTCTTTAGTTATTGATGTATTATGGATGCCAAAGTCACCATGCTCAAGAATGAGACGATATAGAGACACCTCAGTACTCTCTGGTGGCATTATGTGTGGGATTGCACGTAAAAGAGATTGCTTAGCTGTCAAAGCAATAGGGCCAACCGTCTCCGCATCATCCTCCCACCCGATCATATCACCTTCATTTTGAATAGTCGCTTTGATTTTGGATTCTAACACATGCATCCAGAATTCCCGTGTAGGAGCAACAGGCACAGAGAACGATTCTGGCTTGAAGTCGAATATGCGGTCATGGAGATATTTAACACAGAAGTCAAGGGGGGGATCGTAGCGAAACAAAGCTGCACGCATACAAGCTAGCTGATCAAGGAGAACTAGCTGGTGCTAATTAGTATGCCATGATCGACTCTCGGAAAGCGAATAGTAAATTTCATATTCATACCTTGTTCTCTGCACTAAGATCTTCCCACATATTGTTCGTCCCTTCCGCTCTTTCAAACACAAACAAGCGACGACCGGTAAGGTCTAGAGGTATAGTAAGCCTTGGACCTGGATGCCGTACCGGCACACGGTAGTAAAGTAAGCGAGAAGTTCGAATATCAGATTCAGAACGCAACAGTTCGTAGGTAGCCGCCTCAAACAGAGCTTCCGGAGCTTGCTTCTCGATTGGAAAGCCGTCAAAGTCAGGCATATTGACATCGCCACGTGCTAGGCGAGCCACCATGTCCGGCCTGTTCGAGGCTTTGATGTAGAAACCCTAAGCATGGATTAGATGGCGCTTTGAGTTATTTCACTACAGATATAGAAGTATGAACTCACATAGTTGTTGGAGCCTTTGTCAACGATTGGTATGTCTGTCACCTGGGTATTGAGATTCTCTTCGATCTCTCGGATAAGTAGCTTCACATCCCAGACCTCATGAAAGGGGCTCTTGTTGTTGCGAACCAGATCCATCAATTTCTGGCCGTCATACTGGTTGCCATCTAACCCAGAAGGCCACTCGTCTCGCCAGCCCATCTTAATGTGCTTATGGAAGTAGCTTATAAAGTTTAGAGAGGGAGGTTTTGGTCTCTTGATCAGCACATGGGTGGTGAGGAGCATTCGAGAGAGCAATCTCACAAAGGGAGGCCGACAGGGCAGTTGCTCTACCCTGCCGAAAGCTTGTTGTGCCTGAATGGGTGGGCAAGCTAGGTTCAGCTGCTACGTGGTCAGATGTTGTGAGGGATATGTTCTTTTAAAATCGGGAAAAGTTCTAAAATAAAGTGTGACGAGCTTAGCCTGTTTAAGTTAACTAGCTTGGGGTTAAGCAATAATCACGTGAATACCAATCCACAATGTCAGCATAATGTGCACTCGCCTCTAACCGACATCCCTACATCTTGCACGCTTTCCATTCATAACTATGATTATTTCAAAATTTAATGATAATTCGAATTTACAAGATATAAAACTAGAACTTTAAATTACGAATAAGAAGATATAATATTATTATATAGAATCATAAAAACTTTAAGTTTGAAATCTTAATAGAATCTTGATCTGTTATCAATTTTTTATATATATATTCATCCCTTTGTCACGATTCACGGTTTTCATTATAGTAGTATTATTGATATCGGTGATTTATATACTGATTATAAAAGGGGTATGATTTAATTGTTGTTTTCAAAGGGCTTAATCATCTAAGTTTAGAATCCTAGAATTTCTAGAATAAGTATTCTAAGTAATTGTAACGATCTGGTCGAGGCAGCGGCTACCTGAGGTTTCGTATGGTTGGTAGTTGTAGGTTAAGGCTAATAATCACTGGTTATCCATTCGAAGGTGAATACGTTATTAGATCAATTGGAATGTAGGTAAACTAATTGATAACTAAGTTGAGCACGAAGCTCCTAAACTATGAAACTATTCTGACTATATACTAATCCCTTTTGGGAGCCTTGAGGAGCCTACGCTTCTGGAGGCTCTATCACGTGATTCTTATCCTGGTAGGTTGATCCTAGCAATCCTTTCCTATTGTAATCTCTCTAGGATAATTCCCCCTTTAGGATAGTTGATATCCTAGGGAAATCGTCCTAGGATAAATATCCTAGGATAATATTTATTCTAGTCTATTCCGTAAAGTTAGGACATTTGTCTTATTATGTTATAGTTGTCTAGAACATTAATTTTAGGATTCTTAGGTTTTTAGGTTCCTAATCGTAGCGATAAGGAACCCCCCCTGTAGTCGACGGTTAAATTACCGATACTTATAATACCATTATAATCTTAGGTGTAGGTGATTTGTAACAGTAATTATATTAGAATAGGATAAATATTTTAATTAATTAATTGTAATAGAATAATCATTTTAAAAGATATTGTATTCTAGGATTATAATTCTTAAAGGAAAATTTCTAAAACAAATATTCTAAAAAAGGAAAGGTTTCAGGATTAATTATGTAATGAGGAGTTCTAGAAGTTTGGAAAATTTTTAAAATTCCAAAAGCTTTTTAAAATTTTAAAGTTTTACAAAATTTCTTTTTATTCATTAATATATAATCAGAATAATTTTATAATTTAAAAGCTTTATATTTAATTTAATTATCAATTAATTTAATAATAAATTTATTTTTAAATAAATAATCAATGATTATTAATCTTAACTTACAATTATTAATCATACAAAACCTCAGGCAGCCGCTGCCTCGATCAGATTGTTACATCTCAAATCTTATTAAAAGATATAGATTTAATATCTTTAATTGTTGATATAATAATAAGATCTTATAATCTTTTTAAAATCTTTATATTATTTTATATCTTTTATAAATGAAATGATAATGAAATAGAATTAAAGAAACAAAAATATAAATATTTTTATATTGATAATTTTAATCGATATATCAAAACTCAATATTTTCAATTTTATATTATTGATAAAGAATTTCATTATTCTTATCAAGAATATTTAATATTTTTAAATAATATTATATATTTCTTTAATTATATAATATATCAATATAGATTATCTTTTTGATATTGATTTGAAATAATATAAATCGATATCAATATTTGTTTTTGTTATCAAAATTATTATTTATTATTCTACTAGTATTAAAATGTCTATCGATCAAATGTTAGAAGATAACAATCAACCTGTCTATATAAGCTTAGTGTAACGATCTGGTTGAAACAGTGGTTGTTTCAGGTTTCGTATAATTGTGTAACGATCTGGTCGAGGCAGCGGCTGCCTCAGGTTTTCGTATGGTTGGTAGTTGTAGGTTAAGGCTAATAATCACTGGTTATCCACTCGAAGGTGAATACGTTACTAGATCAATTGGAATGTAGGTAAACTAATTGATAACTAAGTTGAGTACGAAGCTCTTAAACTATGAAACTATTCTGACTATATACTAATGAATGTAAAGGAGCTTTGTGGAGCTCTAGAGCTCCAAAAAGCTCCTGGAGCTCTAGGAGCTTTCGAAGCTCCCAGGGCTCCTTATCACGTGATTAGGATCAGACTATATGTCCGAGCTTGCTAAAGGTGGGGAGACCACATGAGGCGATTACCATACAAATTTGTATACGAATCGCCTTGCTTTTCGATAAGGCCTAAGCTCATATGGACACGTTGACTGCTGCCCCTCAACATATCCTTATCTTAATCGTAAATCGTGACAAATTGGTAGTTGTAAGTTAAGATTAATAATTATTGATTATCCATTTGAAGATGAATATGTTATTAGATCAATTGAAATGTAGATAAACTAATTGATAATTAAATTGAATATAAAGTTTCTAAATTATGAAACTATTTTGATTATATATTAATCTCTTTTCTTATACTAACTATATTAACTGGGCTAGCAAAGCTAGTATATCATATGATTGATCTTGAAACCTTTCATATCCCAAAACCTTTTCTTTTCTGGAATATTTGTTTTAAAAACTTTTCCTTTAGAAATTATAGTTTTAGGATATAATATTCTTTAGGGTAATAATTCTATTACAATTAATTAAATAAAACATTTGTTTTATTCTATTATAATTATCTGGGATATTTATCTTAAAAATCCTAAGATTCTAAACTTAAATAATCAGAATTTTTGAAAGCAACAATTAAATCACATTTTTTTTATAATCGGTATATAAATCACCAACAACAATAATATTATTATAATGAAAACTGTAAATCGTGATACTTAAACCTTATTGAAAAGTAAAATAATTTATATACAAATTTATATAATAATTGTTTTATATAGTCTTTCTACCCTCAGTAAGCTTGGATATATAATCTGATTCTAGAGATTATATAATGGACTCTATATATACAAGGATACGAATCGTAGGTCTATATGAATCTATAAGATACAAAGATCTATATAAACTAAAGGGGTTTTTTATATATAGAAGCTTTATGTTCAAGATCAATCATTTAATATAATCTATTATTAATTACGAATTGTAATCATTGATATTATTTTAAAACTTTTATTTGATGTCTAATTATAAACTATTCGAGGATTTAGGCCACTTCCACGTGATCTAGATCGCATCCCTTGTAATATCAAATTATAAATCTTATAATTTGAGTATAATAATATAATAATTATATTTGAAATAATTATAACAATCTGATCGAGACAGCAATTATCTGAGGTTTTATATAATTAATAATTATAAGTTAAAATTAATAATCATTAATTATTTATTTGAAAATAAATTTATTATTAAATTAATTGATAATTAAATTGAATATAAAGCTTTTAAATTATAAAATTATTCTGATTATATATTAATAAATAAAAAGAAACTTTGTAAAGTTTTAAAACTTTAAAAACTTTTTAGAATTTTAAAAACTTTTTAAACTTTTAGAGCTTTTTATTATATAATTGATTTTGAAATTTTTTCTTTTCTAAAATATTTATTCTAAAAGCTTTCTTTTAGAAACTACAATTTTAAAATATAATATCCTTTAAAATGATTATTTTATTATATTCAATTAGCTAGAATATTAATCTTATTCTAATATAATTGCTTAGGATATTTATTTTAAGAATCCTAAGGTTCTAAGTTTAAATGATTAGGTTTTTTGAAAACAATAATTAAATTATACCCTTTTTATAATCAGTATATAAATCATTGATATCAATAATACTATTATAATGAAAGTTGTGAATTGTGATATAAAAGTTGATATATTTTCAAAATTATCTTTTGGATTTCGATATTCAATATTAATAAAGAGATTCTTGATGTTTACAAAGTTGAATTAAATTTTGAATAAACTCGATCTGTTTTTGAATAATTTAATCTTTTATAAGATTTATATAAAATTCAAAAAGTAATTTGATTATAATAATTTACTTTTCAAATTTGTATTTAATTATTAAAAAGATAAAGATATCAATAAATTTTTTTTTTATAATTATCAATCGATCTCAATAGTATAAATAATCTTATGAAACTTCTTGATATCACAAATCTCGTAAAAAGAATAATCATGTGATTCTAATTGATCAACAATTCCTATCAATAAGTTGGTGGGTTGTATACTTGAGTTTCGATTTACTCTTTTTAGTATAGGATTATAATCATTTTAATAACCGATATATATAACTATACAACTATTATATAAGTATTTTGTATATATATATAGATGCTCTCTACAAACTATATATCATGATTTACGATTAAAATTATAATATGTTGAAAGACAACAATCAATCTATCCATATAAGCTTGAACCTCCTATAAAAGCAAAACAACTTGTATACAAATTTGTATAACAACTACTTCATATAATCTCCCCACCTTCAGCAAGCTCGGATATATAATCTGATCCTAATTATATGATAAAAAACCTTGAGAGTTTTGAAAGCTTTTAGAGCTTTAGAAGCTTTTTGAAGTTTTAAGATTTTACAAAGCTTTTTTATATTTATTAATATATAATCAGAATAGTTTTATAATTTAAAAGTTTTATACTCAACTTAATTATCAATTAATTTATCTACATTTCAATTGATCTAATAATATATTCATTTTTGAATAAATAACTAATGATTATTAATCTTAACTTACAATTATCAATTATACAAAATCTAAAACAGTCACTGTTTCAATTAGATCATTATACAAATCTATTATTCAATTTTTCTTTTAAAGTTTATTATAAATTATAAAATTCTAATATTTTTTTATATTTACAGATTTAATTAAAACAGATAAGATAATATCAATATTTTAAATATTCTAGATATTTAATTTTTGAAATATAAATATTATTAATAGTATTATTTATATCTTAAAAAATAAAACATTTAATTTATTTATTGTTCTATTATAAACAAATATAATATATATCAAATAATATAATCAAAATTTAAATATTTTTAAAAGAATTAAATTTGTTTTTAAATATATTATCAACAAATATTAAAATTAACATAAAAGTGTTATGATTTATAATTTAAATTATAATAGTATTATTAATATCAATAATTTATATATCAATTACAAAGAGAATATAATTTAATCTAATTGTTGTTTTTAAACGATCTAATCATTTACAAATAGAATCTTAAAATTTCTAAAATAAGTATTTTAAATAATTATATTAGAATAAAACAAATGTTTTAATTAATTGATTATAATAAAACAATCATTTTAAAGAATATTATATTCTAAAATTATAATTTCTAAAAAAAAGCTTCTAGAATAAATATTCTAGAAAAGGAAAGATTTTAAGATCAATTATATAATAAAAAGCTCTAGAAACTTGAAAAGTTTTTAGAGCTTCAAAAGTTTTTTAAAGTTTTTGAATTCTATAAAGCTCTTTTTTATTCATTAATATATAATCAAAATAATTTCATAGTTTAAGAACTTTATATTCGATTTAATTATCAATTAGTTTACCTATATTTTATTTGATTTAATAACAAATTTATTTTTAAATAAATAATCAATGATTAATAATCTTAATTTATAACTATCAATCTTACAAAACCTCAGACAATCGTTGTCTCGATCATATCGTTATATTATAATCTTTTTTATAATTTTATTAAAATCAATTATAAAACTCTTTTTTTTTCAATTATATATATTCTTCGAGAATATATTATATTTTATAATTATTAAAATATTCAAATATATTAATATTATCAACTTTTATATACAAATTATTAATATAATAAAAATATCAATTTTGAAAATACTTTTTATATCTTTTAACAAAATTCAATATCTAATTCTTTTTTGTAAAACAATTTATTATTATTTTTATAAAATTCTTTATTATATAATTTATAAAAATATAGATTTTATATTAATTTATTAATTTAATTAATTAAATATTTTTTTTTAATAAAAGTATTAATACAAATCAATATAAATTATATTACAAAAAATCGATTTATTTTTATAATATTAAGAAAATATAAAATAATTAATTTCAAATAATTTTGTTATACAAATATATTAAAGATATTTTTATCTTTCAATATAAATTAATACAAATTTTATAATATCTTGTATAATTATATTAGTTATAATTTAATTTATATAATTAATGATTTTTGAGGTTGTAAAATATATACAAGATGTGGGGTCGTACAAGATGTAGGGATGTTGGTTAAGTGTCTATTACCGGGTTTACCAGTATCGGCCGATTTAGGGGCTCACCTGACACACCGAATTTTGCCGATTTTCCACAAAATAGTGACTCCATTAATATAGATTGTAGTGAGGACATATTAGCAGCGTTGAAATCGCTAAAGCTAGGAGAATCGACTGATATTAATGCAATAGTTAAAGAGTATAGAGTTTTGGCGAACACATCAGCGTCTCCCGCATCTACACTATTTCAGCAAATCCTATCCTCGCGTGGAGGGCAACGCCTAGCGTTCTAGAAATTCGTCAACCTCTATTAACTTACGGTGAGTGCACATCTTTCTTAGAGAGATATCATGGTTATTCTAAAGTTAACACGAAACTTATCTACAGTACTATGGTTTTCCAACCCGGCCTCCTCGATCCTGAGAATGTCATGTCAATTCAGGAAACTTCTCAGGACAACTGGCCTTTTCCCCATATAATCATCCAAGATGCCATTAAAGACAGCTTTCTGAGACAAGTGCGAGATGAAATCAATGGCAACCTCCCATTCAAATTTGACGAGAATAATGTTTATCGTATCCAACGATCGACCAACCTTGCAAACATCTCGAATCCTGAGGAATTCCAATTAGGCCTCTTACCAGGTCTCATACAACTACGGGACGCCTTGTACAGCTTTAAATTCAGAAAATGGGTGTCTAGAATCACAGCTGTCGGCCCACTGAGTGGCACCAAATCAAGCATGGCCGTGAATTTATACACTCCCGGTGGTCATCTCCTCGTGCATGACGATTGCAACCCCAATAGCAAGAATCGGAGAGTGAGCTATATACTCTATCTGACAGACCCCGACAACCCATGGCAATTAGAATGGGGAGGAGGTCTAAGACTCTATGCGAGTGAACCAAAGAGGAACGCAAACGGACATGATGTCAAACTCACGTTGCCCCAGTGGTCAAAAAATATTCAACCATGCTTCAATCAGCTGATCTTCTTCGCTATCCAGCCAGGCGGAACTTACCATGAAGTTGAGGAAGTCCGCTACAGTGGAGATATGGTGGTCGACCAAGATCGCCGACGTATGGCTGTAAGTGGGTGGTTTCACACTGCTCAAGAGGGCGACGAAGGGTTTGACGAAGCAATTCAACAGGCTGAGATGCAAAGAGTGGAGCATCTCCATCAGCTCAAGGCTACTGTACATGAGTTTCACGAACCGCAAACAATTTTCACATCATTCGACCATGTGGAAATGGACGGGCCCGGTGCCAATGGGATACTATCCCGACAGGATATAGATTACCTGTCGTATTACCTTGCACCACAGCTACTGACCCGAGCTCGAATAGACCAAATGTCGGAGTATTTCAGTCGAACATCGATGTTACAGCTCAGTCCCTTCCTATGCGAGCATTTTGCAATAAAGCTGAAGGATTACATCACAACATTTAATCACCGTTACGGTAAAACCAATGAACAAAGTAACACGCCATCTGAATGGAAGACCGCTAGACCTCCCGAGGCACATCGCTATCTCTACTTAGACAATTCCGCTGGTCCTTTATTCCAGGCGACTCCTATCTCACAACTTATCACTTGCCTTCTGAGGTCTCATGCATTCAAAAAATGGTTAGCATTAGCGACAGGGTTTGCGTTGTCTAACATCAACAAGCAGCATGTTATAGCCCGCCGATTTCGCCGAGGTCTAGATTATATTCTGGCCGATGCACACGACAAAAGACGGCCACAGCTCGATTACACACTCAGCATAACCCCTGTGAACTGCAACCATGCGAGCAGATATGGCGCGGGTGAAACTAGTGGGGAAGAGATATACATGTCCACTGAACACGACGCCATTCAGCTGATGTTTGCTGGAAGAAATTTTACTCGAACTCTAAAGGATGGAACGGGCTACAAGAATCCTATTTCCTGGAATAGTTTTTCAGCTATACTACGATGTGACGGTATGCAGAGCTTCGTCAAATATGTGAGTCATGAGGCAAGTGGAGATCGATGGGATATCAAGGGAAAAGTGCAGCTGAAGGGCCATATGCTGGATGGTGTAACAAGCCATCAATAGAAGCGATCGATATTTGTAATACATGAGATGACTTGTTTGATTTTGATTCGAAGAAACGTACTATTGTCTCATCTTTGTGGCGTATAATGCAATCTTTGTAAATAGATCGTCTTGACCGGTCTTGTACGACACACTTCTAATGAACCTGGATTATCACATGCCCCATCTTGTGTGTAGCGTAGCTGAGACCTATCCTCGTAAGATATTGTGTTGTAGGGGGCCTGGTGATCATGAAAGCTTGTTAATGAAATATGTCATCCCTGCCCCAATCCCAGCCCCTAACCCCTCATTAATTAATTGAATGAATGAATGAATGAATGAATGATTGATTGATTGATTGATTTTTCATCTTTAAATCCTGAGTCTAAGACTATAACTGGATAGCTAGCCTATCCTCTAGTTCTTTTCGAGATCTTCAATATATTCTAACTGTCCCCTCACTGATATATCTTCAACAAATGAATGGACTTAAGCCTTCGAACTTTAGAATTAAGAGTGCCTTGAAACCAAATATTGAAAGCAAGCAAATGCCGATCGAAGGAAACAATAGTGTATTCTCGAAATGGAAGAAGATCAAGATGGTTGCCCTTTTGCATCCATCATGCAATTATACATGCAAGAATTTCTAGAATCAGCGTACCCCGCATTATTCACCAATAGCATCGAACGTAATACTTTTGTCTTGGCTTTAGAACATAGTCGGTAGTGAAAACGCTGCGGTTAAATGACAATGTCAGCGGAAGAAAAAGTTCCATCCTATCTCCATCCTATTTTAACCTACGAGTGGACGGCATTTATCCTCATTCTTGTAGAAAATTAGGATAGAAAGGGAGTTTCCTTTGCTAAATGAGACAATCTTACAATCTACTTGCGGAGTGTTCCTCAACTTACTTATCTCTGATACATAAGCTTTAATTGCCTCATAAATAAATTCTTCGAATAACAACCAATACAAAATATCCATAGTATTCACAACTCCCACATCCACAAGGCACATCGTCATGTCTCTTATTGACACCATCCGCTACAATAAGCTACCCTCCCTAGAAGAGGCAAATAGCCGGCGGCAGGTGAGTATCGGACGTCAATCGAGCCGAAACAGCGTCCAGGCTTATCAATCAATTTCTCACCACGCTCACAGGCCGAACATATCAACAATGTCATTGAAGGTCCACTCCGCGATATATTCATCAAGTATGGTGTACAGAATACCTTCACCCTCTACCTCCAGCATCGCCATCACCAAGTCCATGAAAATGAAGCCGTCGTCAAGGTGCACAGTACAGCACATTTGATGAATGACGAGGAGATTAAGGACATTGAAGAAATGGGTAACAAGATCGTTCCTACGACTTGGATGAGTGATAATCTACTCCCTATGGAGTTTGCTGTAGCTCCTGCCTCGTATGCTCATTTCCACTCCCACTCTTGTCTCCCAGTTCCGCTTTCTCAGCTTGACATTAAATCCTGGCTTACGTTTCCTCTGAACAGAGCCGACACTCCTATTTTTCCACCAGACTTCATCGCAGAATTAACTAATGTCCTCGCCTCGAACAGCTGCGAGGGTCTCTTCGGTATCGACACCCTAGGTGTAGATGACTGGACCGAACTTAGTATCGGCAATGCAAGTGTTGTTGTACCCAGTAACGGCACGGACAGAGAGAACTACATCCCTGTTGCGTTTGCTTTTGATGAAAAAAAAGCAGGTTTTAGAGTCCATGGGAAATGCGGTAGTGACCATAAGCATACTTCCAAACCGTGATGGGAAAGATATAAATTTCCATTATACTTCGTGGACGTGTAATTAGGGGAAGAGCATAAGAGAAGATGGTTTTGTCGGAAATGATAGTCTGATCTAGGATTTTTAAAGTATCTGGGTATACGAGAGTATTTACTACTTCGACATTGATCTTACATACACTCGTCGGTCGTTACCAGCGTAAAATTGATTTAACTCAAGCTACAGAGCATCGAGTACTGCCAACTATTCCAATAGAAAGCTCCTCATAACACTATATCTCCTCATTCGACTCGCTCGCCGCAGTCTCTTAATGTTTGCTTGTTGGGTGGCCTGAGAGACCTACAGCTCTAAGAACAGTTATACTTTGATTCTGCAAATAACCGAATCTGTAATCCTTTGTATTGTGAGAAATCAATACAGTAATCAACAGAGATTCAAGTTTCTACCCACTTCTAACAGTATTATTCACCATCATGTCTCCATCTCGTTGGCCGATAAGTGGCAATCATCTAGTAGCTTGTTGTTGGAACCACTGTAGCGGGGTAGGTGGGGCCTAGCCCTACCTCCTTTCCCAAACAACATCAAATGATCTCCGTTCACTATCCATATCAACCGTCCAATGTTTACCATGGACCAGATCATCAATATCCACCCATTCCTGAAATTCCCTATTCCTTGATCTGTTCTATATATTAACTTGACCATGTAGATCCACTATGAAATCTGATATTGGAATTCTCAAAGTACTTGTATTTGCTTCGAGGGGTTGTATTCCTATACTGAGTCACCTTAATATCCTGATAGATGAATGGAGCGATTCATAATAGGGATAGTTGTAGGACATTTTGCGTAGATTTCATGTGTTCGGTATATTGGTCCTCCGCTTTCTTAAGCATCTTCTTCAACATCCCCCTCAACAGTTCCTCATTCTCTGTGGTTCTTTTATCCTAGGATTCAAGGATCAACTTAAGGATACCCCAGAAATTCCAGCATGCATATACAGTGTTAAACGAGGGACACTCTAGTGGGAAATGTGGTTTTGGTAAGCCAAGAAGTTCTTTTGCTGGGATAGAATGCAGTCCTTCACACTCCCTATGAGCGAGGATTAATCGTAGGGGTCAGCATTGCGCGTCTGTCACATAGGGAGATCGAGGTCGAATTTAACCGCTCTAGCGGGGCAGTGAGAAGTGCACTTAATGGTCATGGTTCAAGAGAACAAGGGAAATCCAAACCGGGCGAGGTCCTAAAGTCAGATACAGTCTTAGATCTCTTACACTTCGTACTACTTGCGCGGAAGATTTTACTGTAGTTTATTAACTGAGGTTTTTACAAGCCTAATTATAGTGTCGTTCGTGTAAGAGTTAGATATAAGAGAACCGGACTAAGCGTTCCTTAAGTCTGCTGGACCCTAGCTCTAATATCGTGAAAGTACAATTCGGTCTTCCTTCATGATTACCTGCTTATCTACCTATTTATCATCTTACACCGGTAATAGTTGTACCCAATCATTGAAGGCTTTCAGAAACCAAGCGTAATGTATTCATTGATTATTATTGATCTATTGCCAACACAACGATTTACTCTGCCTCTGCTGGGCTTCCAATGTGGCATACCGGAACATTTGTCTGTTCTATACACAAATTTACTAACTGAGGACAATGGACGAACTACTCGGAATGTAATCTTGTGCTCCGTTAAGCTAGCACTATTTCCGGAAGGTCGCTTATACCATGACGGTTTATTGGTGCCTAGTATGCAAAGTTGTGGAATGGTTAATGGTTCGACCAACGATTTGTGGTAAACAGGGTACATGCTCTAGTTTTCAGCTGTACCACTGTTAAAGAACTTTCCTACTTCCTATTTTCCTGTTTCATCATGTCACCACACCCGGGCGACAATTTATCTTCGTACGATGATGCCTTATTGAATTTGAACCTATTACCTGCTATCGTTTGGTTAATTTGCTTTGCACAGCCGGTAGGCTTAGAGAAACTAGGAGGGGGTGTGATTGGAGATGTGGTTGCACTGCATACTTCACCTACTCGCGTTTATTTGTCTTGGCCGAATTATCATTCGACATAGGGCCATCTAGATGTTATCATGGATATAAATCAACACTTATGATTGAGTGAGACTTTGTGGCTTTATGTATGTTAGACTTGTGGGGATAGGAAGTGTGATGATGGGCTTAAATCTAAGCTTGATCACAGCCTTGTTGTCATTTATTCCCTACATCGATTGAGAACCTCATCCGATGCCCCTGGTCAAGCTTGCCAAATCAGAGCAATCAAAGCAGCGGAATCCCTTATACAAAAGGGAGCCGAAATCTCACTCAATTGGGTCCCTGGACATACCTCAGTGAAAGGAAATGAACTAGCTGATGCTTTAGCAAAAGAAGCCACAAAACTAAATTCATCATCCCACAAAACAAGCTTTGCCTCTCTAGGAATAAATATCAAAAGAACAAAAGATCAAGAACGGAAAACTTTTCTCAACTCAATCAACTCAAATTATTCAAAACCATACCCTTGGAGAATCGGTTCGAAGATCGGAATTCCAGAAAACATCAAAAGGAATTACATTAGTATTCTGTTCCAGCTCAAAATCGATCACGGTTACTTCAAATCATACCTAAAACGATTCGGAATTGTATCAAATGACAATTGTAGATGCGGAAAAAGGGAAACTCCTGATCATCTTCTCCTCAGCTGCCCTATATATAAAACATCAAGGAATATAATCAAAAGAAATAACCCATCCTCTCGATTCGCTATGAAATATCTGCTTCATACCAAATTAGGAATCACTAAAACTCTCTAATTCATCGAGGAAACGAAAATAACTACTAGATCGTAACATCTCACCAGAAGACAAGAAGAGGAGGAAGAAGAGGAGGAAGAAAGAGAAGGAGAAGAAAGTATCACGGTGCAGAAGTGACTAGTAGGTAATAGTAAAGTAAGTTGATATTCTACGAAGGGTAGGAAAGAGGTTACAAGAGAGAAACTACTCAATAGAAGTCTCGAGTGCTTTGTACTCTAGGAATATTGTCCTATGATACAAGCTTAGATAGGACACTGGCCCTATGACTGAAGTAGTCCTAGTGTGATAACCGTGCTAGTACAATAATCCTAGGTTTGGATTTGTCCTAGGATGAAAGGGTTGTCCTACAGCAATACCACTCCTATGATTCCTTATTGTAGAGCTTCGTGCTCAAGATCAATCATTTAGTATACTTTACTATTAGTTACGAATTGCAACCATTAATATTATTTTAAGCCTCTACTTGATGCCTAGTTATAAACCATTCGAGGATCCAGACCACTTCCACGTGATCTAGATCGCAACCCTCATAACAACCAGGCACAGAAAAAAGTGTCACAATAGTAGTATCTTAAAATTTTAAATAAGATTGCTCATTCTTTCCAAACAGATGAAAACCCGCTTCGCTATACCCTCGTATCCTGGCAAAATAAAAGGAAACCTAAAAATATAAACTGAAAACAACAATGATTTTTCTCCAAAATACTCTGCCGGATATAGAATTAATAATAAACTTTAAAATCGCACCAATATTGTTTATGAAATCCATCTTAAGAAAAACATAAAAGTATTTTTTAGAAACCATCTTTATCTTTCTATTCCTCCCCCAACATTCGTATAACATTCTATGGAATGAAATATTGTCGTCTTATCAAAGATGTAGATCGTACAAGAACTATCCACTGAAGAATATTCCTATATTGATCCGTTACTTTGCAGTAGAACTTTGTTGTCTCGAAGATTTATCGAATCTCTGATATAACTTCACTCACAAAATCTAAATCGAGTAAATCGCTTCTAACATTTAAAACCCTTATAAAATGATAAAATGTGAAATTAATTCTAACAATTTCATTATTTCTTTTAACTTCTTAACATTTGTAAAGTATATAGTTGTCATGATTCACGGTTTTCTTTATAGTAGTATTATTGACGTTGGTGATTTATATGCCGATTATAAAAGGGGTGTGATTTAACCGTTGCTTTCGAGGGTCCTGATTACCTAAGTTTAGGATCCCAGAATTCTTAGGATAAATATCTTAAACAATTATAATAGAATAGAACAAATATTTTATCTAATTAATTATAATAAAATTATCATTCTAAAAGATATTATATCCTAAGGTTATAGTTCTTAAAAGGAAAGCTTCTAGGATAAATATTCCAGGAAAAGAAAGGCTTTGGGATATGAGAGACCTCAGGATCAATTATATGATATACTAGCTTTGTTAGCCCAGCTAGCAGAGCTAGCATCATAGGAATACTAGCTATACTAATCCAATTAGCATAACTAGCATAGGAAAAGAGATTAGTATATAATCAGAGTAATTTCATAATTTAGAAGCTTTATATTCAATTTAGTTATCAATTAGTTTATTTACATTCCAATTGATCTAATAACATATTCACCTTCGAATGAATAACCAATGATTATTAGTCTTAACCTACAACTACCAACCAAACAAAACTCTGAGGCAGCCGCTGTATTAATCAGATCGTTACAATAGTATAAATATTACAAAACTTTTTATATATATTAAAATTGAAAATAATTGAGTTTATATAAGATTTATATTTTAAAATAATTAATATTTTCAGAATCTATTTCTTTTAAATATATAATGATATTAAAATAAATAAAGAATACAAAAGAATAAATGTTTGTTTTGTTTGTTATAAGAAATATAAGATTTCTTTAATCAATTATTCAATATAATTCATTCAATATATAAGCTAGCTCGATATCGATAATACAATCAGATATTATTTCATCGAGATTGATATAATGAATTATTATAAATGAAATAATTTGAAAAAAGTTTATTGTTTTAGAGATTCTTTTTGAATCAATAATAAAGAAAATGAAAAACTTATCAAAAAAATAAAAGAACACAATTAAATTTCTATTTGAAGATTATATATACAATAATAATTAATCAAAAATTTTACTTTTTATGAAGAATCAGAATATAATACAAAACCATTGTTTTTGAAATCATATTATATATACTTTATAACTAAAAAAATAAATTTGTTTGTTTTTTTAACAAATAAATCAATGTAATTACTTTTTGAGTTTGATAGAATATTATATTTGGATTACTTTTAACATTCGATATAAGAGAGCATTATAGATCTTCTTTTACAAACAATTATTCTTTTTCATTTCAAGAATTGTTTTATTTTTATTTAATATCCATTATATTGAAATTCTCTTTGTTTGTATTATTGACTATACCTTTGAATATATAATAATATTACAATATCACAAATCATTTATATTTAAGATTATAATAATATTATAAATATTGATGATTTAATTGTCAATTATAAAAGGATTTTTTATTATTATAATTAGAAATCTAGAAATCCTAGAATAAATATTCTAGGTAATTATAATATAATAAAACAAATATTCTAATCCTATAAATGTAACGATCTGGTCGAGGCAGCGGCTGCCTCAGGTTTTCGTATGATTGGTAGTTGTAGGTTAAGGCTAATAATCACTGGTTATCTACTCGAAGGTGAATACGTTACTAGATCAATTGGAATGTAGGTAAACTAATTGATAACTAAGTTGAGCACGAAGCTCCTAAACTATGAAACTATTCTGACTATATACTAATCCATTTTGGGAGCCTCCAGGAGCCTACGCTCCTGAGGGCTCCAAGGAGCCTACGGGAGCCCACGCTCCTGGAGGCTCCATCACGTGACTAGGATCAGACCATATGTCCGAGCTTGCTGAAGGTGGGGAGACCATACGAAGCGGTTGCCATACAAATTTGTATACAAGTTGCTTTGCTTTTCAACAAGGTCAAAGCTCATAGAGACAGGTTGACTGTTACCTCGTGACATTCTATAAAATGATTTCGTGACAATAAAGTAGATTAAAAGAATAATTATTTTAAAATATTTATCCTGGAACAATTATACAAGGATATCAATTATTCTAGAAAAGAGATTATTTTAAAATAATTTCAATAAAACAAAATCATTAGAATTAATCTATCAAGATAAAAAACTATATAATAAAGTCTCTAAAAATATAAATTCCTTTAAACTCCTTAAAGTCTTCAAAAATATAAACTTCTTGAAACTTTTAAAAGAGATTAGTATATAATCAAAATAGTTTTATAATTTAAAAATTTTGTATTTAATTTATTTATTAATTAATTTATTTATATTCTATTTGATCTAATAACAAATTCATTTTCAAATAAAAAATTAATAATTAATATTTTTAATTTTTAATTATTAATTATACGAAACTTTAAACAATTGTTATTTCAATCAGATTATTATATTTTAAATATTGTTATAATTAAACTATATACAATACAATAAGTTCTAATCAATAATTTATTGAATTATCTTCCTTTAATTTTATCAAAACCTTTATTTAAACCATTACAATAATAGAATATAGACAGATAATTCAAATATCCATTTTTAATTTATTTTATAAAGATTATAACAGATATCAAGTTTTTATTATATAAACTAATCTTTATTATATTTTTAACAAATAATTCTTTTTGATTTCTATATAAAAGATTTTATAATTGATTTTCTTTTTCTAAAGAATTGCATTCAACTGAATTGAATCATTTTTCAATAACTTAATAATTAAAATAATCAACGATCAATTGAATAAAAATATAAAATTTAAAATATATTGTTTTTTTCTTAATTACAAATTATTTAAACAAAAATTCAATAGAGCATTCGAGGAAGCAAACCCCGATCATATAATTGAAAAAGTATTGTAATAATTTGGATAGATTGAATCAATTACAATCTATATTATTAAGTTTCAATAATATATCGAATATATTATATAAAATAATTATTATTTAAAATCATAATTTTATAAAAAACTGAAAGATATCATCAAGAACAAATTAGCAAAAACTTTGAAATCATTTAACTTTTTCAAATTAATTGAAGCCTTGATTTTTATTAATAATCGATTCTATAAACGACAAATAAAAAAAAGAAATCATTTAAGAAAATAAAAAGTTTCAAAAACGTTATTGTCAAAACAGATATTATAATACTAATGATTCAATAAAATTAAATAATATTGAATAATACTGTATAAAATCAAACAATTTTAATATTAATAAAAAGAAAAAATTTAAAAAAAAATAATTTGTATTATATTTACAAGAAGAATATATATATATTCAAAATTATTCTTCAAAAAAAATCTATTTATTATAAAAAATAAGAAATATTTAAAATTCAAGAATAAAAGATAAGATTCTCAAAAAATAGAAATTTTAAAAAGAAACTTAAAAGAGATAAGTGTAACGATCTAGTCGAGGCAGCGGCTGTCTAAGGTTTGTATAATTGGTAGTTGTGAATTAAGGTTATTAATTATTGTTTATTTATTTAAAAATGAATTCGTTATTAGATCAAATAGAATATAAATAAACTAATTGATAATTAAATTGAATATGAAGTTTCTAAACTATAAAACTATTGATTATATACTAATTCTTTTCGGAAGCTTTGAAGAACCTATACTCTTAGAGGCTTTATTATATAATCCTTTATCCTAGAAGCGATCCTGCCCTATTGGAATTGCCTCAGGATAATCTCCTCTCTAGGATAATTGATATCCTAATATGATTATCCCAAGATAAATATCCTAGAATAATCATTATCTTAATCTATTTCGTAGTGTAAGGACATTTGTTCTATTATATTATAGTTGTCTAGAACACTAATTCTAGGTTTCTAGGTTTCTAATCATAGCGATAAAGAACCCCCCTGTAATCGGCAGTTAAATCACCGACACTCATAATACCATTATAATCTTAGATATAAGTGATTTGTAACAAAGATATATAAAGTTTTATAAACTTTGGAGATATTATTAAATTTAAAGTTCTAAATAAATATTTAAGAATTTAATATTGAAATTTAATCAAGATGTTTCAATTTTAAAATATATATTATATAAAAAGGTATTAAAATATTTGAAAAGTTTTTTTTGTATTTAAAATTATAGTATTAATTTAAATATCTTATTAAAGAATTATTATAAATAATTTTGTTAGTTTTTAATATTCAAATCTTTTTTATTTAAAAGAATTCTAAAAAAAAAAATTTAACTGAACTCGATTCTGATTTTTAAATTTTCAAATATAATTATATCTTTTTTTAATCTTATAATATAATCTTATTTCAGAAAATATGTTTTTATATATAAATCTCAATTATCTATACTGGTAAATACAGAGTACTGAAGTTGATAATGAAGAAGCGAGGTACTGGCAATTATAGCCAGACTTGACTTGATATTCGTTTCGTTGATTCGATTGGGCCAGTAATTTTTACTATCACTGTCATGATGCTTGGACGTGGTTAAAAGCCATGGGGTGTTGATTCGCTAGAGTTTTAATACCGGGAACCGGGTAAGGGGTGGGGTGAGATTCGTTCTTGAAGATAAGTATCCTTAATTATATATATTATATCACTTACTCAGAATATCCCTGTAAACGAGCGATTCTTGTTAATTGAGCGAAATATATAATTGTATTGATCAATTAGTCATATATATATAGTAATACCGTTTTAAGGAGTTTCTGTATAAAAGTATAATATATATACCAATGCACAGCACGAGTCAGAAGCGACAGCCGCTGACTTGACTCGTGTGACGAAGACTAAACTAGGATAATGTTTATGGAGAAGAAAATTATACTATGATTCAAACAATTACACACTTGGCCACATCAAAAGCTTATCAAAGCGATGACTAGGCTTTACGTATATCCTGTTTCGAAGATGATTTGTTTAGGAAGGAGGTACGAATATCTTGTTCAAGGACGAGTGTATGATTATCACGTCTATATTTAGGAAGGTTAGTTCTCGAGATGAAAGGATAGTGCTTGAAGGATGAGAGCGAAATGAATAGAAGGTCTGGGGAAAGCGATCTGAGTGCGTTTGTGATTAGATTTGTGTGCGGAGCCCCGGATCTGGTGGTTTTCAAGTTATGCGTGTGTGTTGTTTTACGGTCGCAATTTTTATGGCAATGTAGAAATTTATCTTTTTGATTGAAAGATATAGAGGAATGTGTATATATTTGAAGCAATGAAAAGTGTAATCATTTAAGTATAGATATGTATCTTATTTCAATAACTCGAGATTAGATTTATACACTGTAGTAATGGGGCATCAAGTCATTGAATGAATGTTCTTGTTAATTGCGATGCTATCTATAAGCGATGATATCTATAAGCGATGACTATACTAATTCTTTCATTCTATTATCTATTGACACTAATAGATCAACCACTCAGACTCTTTTCTTTCCCCTTCTACTTTCCTCATTCAACAAATAAACCCTTCAGATTATCTCCCACATTACTTACTCCCTTGCTCCTCTCATGATGATCATCTCAAAATGATCTCAATTCCAATTAATGCATTAAAAACACAAACACATCCAACTCCACATCCAAAAATCACCCCAAAACAAACATCACCTCATCAACTCCCAGCCAATCCCCATAATTACCCCAGACAACCCTACCCAATTCTCCGACGGTAAGTGGATACAATTCATCTAAAAGCGGGTCCTGTTAATCAAATCTCCACCCATCCTGCATTTCCGCGAATGCTAAAACCCCAGGTATTAAACCATTAGTGTCTCATTACGCATTTTTGGTTCGTTTAGCGAAGGCTCATTAGGGATTAGTAGGAATAGTGTCTTAGAGTTACCCCGCACGATGGACCAGTCATACGAGTTGGTTTGTAGAACAGGAGATTTTGGATATGGGCTGAGGAAAGAGGAGATGAAAGGAGGGAGGAGGAAGGAGGGAAGGTACAAATGGGTGGTGGTTTCCTCGTATTTTTATACTTCTTTTTTTCTTTTCATTTCAATATAACACAATACAACTCATACAACTCATACAACACACAATCATACAATACATCACTCAAATACAATACTTTCATCAAATTTCATCACTGTGATACCTCATTCATCACTTGAAGAGTACGAGATATCGGCATACGATAGGATAAAGAAATTACATCGTATATGATCTTATCACTTCAATAAATCAGTCATCATGGTTGCTGTTACTGGAGTTATTACTGCTGGTGGTAAGTCCTTGCATTTTATGACTATATTCTTTCCCTGATGAAATCTTACATTCCTATATTCATCACTTGATGTGTATATGGTGTCGGTGTGGTACTACTTATCTGTGTTTCACACCGTTACCTTTCTCTTCTACATCCTCCATCACCACTCACATCACTTCACTTATCCTATCCTCTTCACCCCTTCCCATCCTCCACCATCCCTTCATCACTCCTCCTACTCGCTCCCATCTTCCACTCAAACTAACACACACCTACAGCCTCAGCTCTCGGTCTCGCCGCCGCTCTCGCATCCATGCATCTTCCCGCCAAAAACTACCGCGTAGAACGTACCCGTCGACTCTCCCAACCAGCCGACCAAGACCAAGGTGAAATGACACGATTGGCATTACAAAAAACCAACTCTGCTGGTTCTATCACTGAAAAAACTAAGGGTTCTTTCCAACCTGGAAAGAAAGTCTTGGGTCGGGTTAAGGAATAAGTGATGGGATGGATGGATATGGTGTTGGGGTTTATGATGGCGATGGATAGGGATATGGATACGGATACTGGCACTGATATGTTACTATGAGTTTATGAATGAGTAGCTACCAGGCTGTCTCAAATGGGTATGATAGTATGATGGTGCGATGGAGTTTAATTTGCTTATTGTTGCTTTGGGTTTTACCTTTTTTTCACCTACCTACATATATACATACATACTTACATATTACATGGGGAAAGTCTAGAAATAGATAGATTTCTTGATTGATAGTTTGGAGATGGATGTAATTGATATCACTCATTTTTCTGGGATTGGGATTTAGGATGGATATGGAATGAGAATGAAATTAACACATACTCTGCACATAATTACATGAACAAATTTGATTGAACATCTGAACATGAAGTAATGATTCTCACTGATTAATTTCATAAAGGAGTAGAGTAAAGGAGAGCAGATTTCAATTCATGAGATGAATAATCCATTCAACTTGAATCACTACACTCATACATATCTATTTCTAAATTCTAAATTCTAAATTCCAAACTCTGAACAGATTGATGATGACGTGGCTGAGGGGTACAGTAGACAGGGAGTATTGTTTCGAAATACAAGCTGCTGTGTAACGGAACTTTAAGATTTCTGTCTGTCTTTATTTAGGTAGGTAGGTAGGTAGGTAGGTGGGTACTTGGGTATTTGGGTTCAAATCATATTTTTGGGGCTTAATTTTTAGTTTCTTTTTTATTTTCTCGATGGTATTCTTTTGGTATTACTTTTTGAGGAGTTTGAGGAGTTGTGTATGGGTATGGGTATGGGTATGGGTATTGGAGGGTTGGAGGGTTGGGGGAGGGGGGAGGCCGGTAGAAGGAAGGGGGTTGTGAGAAAGAGATAGATAAATGATTGTTTATTTAATTGTATTTTTGTGAGTTGAATGAGATGAGTTGAATGAGATGAGTTGAATGATCTCAATAGAGTTGAATGATCTCAATAGAGTTGAATGATCTCAATAGAGTTAAGTGATTTCAATAGAGTTGAATGATTTCAATAGAGCTGAATGATCTCAATAGAGTTAAGTGATTTCAATAAAGTTGAATGATTTCAATAGAGTTGAATTGAATGAGTTAAATTATCTCAATAGAGTTGAATGATCTCAATAGAGTTAAGTGATTTCAATAGAGTTTGAATGATCTCAATAGAGTTGAAAAAAGTTCTAAGTCATATTCGCCTGAGGTTGTAAGGCTTACACCAAGCTTTTCGTTCGCTTTTCTACCGGTGTATTTTAGACCAATCGGATTGTCAGGATCGCGACTCACTTAAGCGAGTTTCTCATTTTCTACAACTTATACCGAGTAAATTGTGATACGCTATATGTATAATAAGGTTTTGATATCAGTTAATCAATAGTTAATATTTTTATTTATCTTATTGTAATTATTTAAAAAAGATTATATAATAAAAATATTTATTCTCGGAGGAGGTTAATTGATAATAAATAATTATTATAATAATAATATTATTTATATTAGTAGTGAAAGACTTAGTCGTATTTAAGCTCAATAGGGTAAAGTCGAATATAATTATAAATTGAAGTCAGAATAGTAGAGTAGAGATTTTATTGCTTTTTCTATCTTGTTATTTCAAAGGATTCTTTGAAGAAAATCTTTTTATTTATAATATTTAATGAGATTCTAATATATTCTATAATTAATAATAAGATCAATTTGAATCAAATCTTATAAAATCATTTTATATAATAAAAAGAAATAATAGCCAATAATATTCAATCTGGTGAATAAGAAATTCTATACACTTTCATTTCATTCTATTCCCTTATAAATCAATCTGATATGAATTATAATCAAAATTTTATAAGATAATGAAATTTAATAATATATATGAATATTATTAATATATCACGTGATCATATGATCATTGGTTCGGCTAATATTATTAAGTGATTTAATAACTTATTAGAAAATCTCACATTTATCTTTATTTATTATGTTAAAATTTGAAAGTTGAAAATAATAATTATTAAAGAGATTCATTCAGATAAGAAAATATTAATAAATGAATATAGAAAATTAATATTAAAAATCGAGAGAAAAATATTTTAGTATTGATTAATTGTATTTATAAAAAATTATTTTTAAAGATAATATTTAGGATTTTGTATTTCTATTATAATATGCGAGATCAAGTTGTATAGATTGTTGAGATTATAAAGATTATATATAGAATATAGGATTCGGAGACTGGAACTTGAGATTTAGTATTTACTCAGTGCTAGAGCATAAAGTGTGAGGTGTGGATACTGATGCAGAAAATCATATAGATGAGTGAGAGGATGGTGAATGTATTAATTATAATATAAGCTCATTCAATCATATAGATATTTCTTAAATTTATAATCATGATTGCTCTTTATAAGAGATTTATCACCCTGGGAGGGAACTTTCGAAAGTTGTTTATGAAAGACAACAAGAGCAAACGATTGAAAATGATGGTATCGAGTTTCTTTATTTCCCAAGGGTGGTTAAAGGCTGCTGGAACATCATTTTTGGGATTCAGATACTATGAGAGCCAGGTAGATGATGATCGGTAAGATGATATTAATATATGTTTTGTGGCAACAAGAAACTATTGAATGATAATAGTAAATTCTGCCTAATGGTAATCAACATCTCATCTTTTATAACAATGAAAAGGATTTATAATACCAATAACTATACAATATATAATTCCTCCTTGTTAGTTTTGTAATTTCACTGATCCGCAGCCTTAAATTTGAGTTTAAATTTCGCTAAAGATTCACCACGACAGTACTCCTGTGCTCTCATATCGTTCCTATCTATTTAATTGATATAATAAGAAAGTGGGCCAAGTCAAATTGTACTGATATTATATACTGAACTTCCCGAGGTCATATTTGGAATTCTGATCTTGGAGTTAGCGCGCCAGCTTCATGATGTGGGTTAACAGATAGGGGTAAAATATAACTGAGGTGAATCTTACCAAACCACAATCTTTTCAAGTTTAGAGACTAGATTGAGGTAATTAGAATCTTCGTGCAAATCTCATCACCTTAGTTGAAGAACCAACTGGAGAAATATCAGTATCAAGTCCTTGCTCGGGTATATATACTCCTCTCTTTTCTCTCCTCTTCCCCGACGATATAATACCAAAAAACCAATTTGAAGGACAGTAAACGTGGTTGTGCAAAGACACTCTAAGTAAAACCTGCGGAAAAAATATTTTCTTCTAGAATATATCAAGTCCCCAATATATGATTAATAGTGTTAAGGATGCTATGCACTATCTTCTTGCATTTTTGTTCCATGACGATGACAACGCGATTGGAAGATACCCTTTGTTGTCACTTATATGACCTCCATCATATATCATACTCAAATTCACAGTCCGTAGCCACTCACATGACCGGCCCAACAAAAAGTCTCCGGCTCCTCAGCAGACCTTCCGCCTGAATATACTTGCTATTCGCAGTCCTTACACTTGCTTCTAGAAATAATGATTGCTGAACGTATATATACAGATACTTTAACTTTAATTGCAGATTCACGGAGTAGCGCTGCAGGTCCTACGAGTAATAGAATGTAATTCACCTGTTCTAATAGATTGAGCAGTATTCTCAGCGTATAGGAATCGAGTTGTTGTATTCACCTTCATATATAGATTTTTTACCTTAATGAGCGGCCCCTGTTTTTGGATGTCTCATTGTACCCGTAGTGGGAGGAAATATAAATTGACCTGGATTCCCGGTAATGTTGCAAAATCATGGAAAATATACACTAGGAGACGGTCAGGAGCAGGTTTCGAAGCCTTGAATTAGATTCCTCGGTTGTTATATAGAATTCGGCCTTCAACACCTGCAAATTTGGAAGTGTCGGAGGCTTAAAACGGATTTTGATTCTTATTGAGGTTGATGCTAAGATGTTTTGACAGCAGTGAAATATTATTCTTTTAATACTTCTTCAACGTGACTGCTCGAGACAAAAACGACAATGGACCAGATTCGACTTCTGTTTAATTTTGTTTTATTAAGAATTTCACAGAGCTTTATTTTCTATCAAAATAAAAAAGTAGAAAACTGAAACAAACTAGAAGTCGATAAAAAACAACTTGGACATGCTGTGTGTCGGCATATTGCTTTGATATTTCATTCGTTATTACCTATCTTGATTTCCTCTTCAGTGTTGAGGAGAATTTGACTTCTTTTATACAAATGCATGTAGAAAGTTGGAAAAATCAATCATTCACCGGCATTTCTCTAGTGTATATTTAGCTTCTCGTCGTAGAAAAGAGGGGCTGAGAAGTATGTCGTTCTTTAAATATCCATTACAAGAGGGGGTGTGAAAAGTCAATACGAAATCCCGTTAGTTCACGAAAGCCAACATAATGTCCAGGTCTGAGTAGCGATCGCAGTTTAATTGCCAAGTAACATAACCATATGCCTCTGTGCCTTTAATTTAGGATAGATCGTAGGGTTTTGTAATAGATTTAGGGCTAGTCGTGAGACATGGGGACATTGTTCTTGGGTTAGTTTCTATTATCGTCGCATATTGTGTATCCATTCATTGGATTAAGAAACAATAAATAGAGAATCCTATAAAAAAGACAACACTAACAGAGAAATCGGCATTAAATGATAATGGTATCCGCCAGCGAAAAGACATTGGATCCGCATAACTCATATTGACTTCCAATAACTCGCAAACCATACATGTAATCTTGATTGGAATATAAACGACACCAAGTAGTTGCTCGGGTAAAAGACGTTTATTAAAGAGTAAAAAGAGCATATTAAATTCTTAATATATAAATAAGTCAATGCCTAGGTGAGTAAATCTATAATTAAATATACCATCCTAAAAGCATTTATATAAATTAACTTATCATGAATAGTCGGCATTTATTTCTGAGCACGTTGTGTCTATATCTAATTATCAATTTCGGTTTTCGATTCTCGGTTCTCATTTTAAAGCTAGAAGACTTGGCAATAATCCCAACACTCAGTGACAGTAACAATAACATAATGAACACTCATTGTCAAACTTACGGAGGATAGAATCTCTCATTCAATCAATCAATTTCTCAAACTTACTCCTTTACGATTTCCCTTCATAAATTGCGGCTCTGGATGGAACTCTACCCATAATACTCGGTACTCCTTCTTGGAAAACAGTTGCTTCCCTGATATATCTATTCATAAACTCAAAACGTCGCGAGAGCATGATTTATATAACAGCAAAGTAATTCTAAGTATCGTAAAGTTATCCCTTCCGTATTCCCTCGGTTAATCGATCCTCTAGTTCTTGTTGGTTTTGTATGTATTACGCGAGATTTCGAA